TTAGGGTGTTGGTTGGGTTAATTTGCATATTGCACTGATTAGCCAATGAGAGGCATAGCGAAGGTATGGCCAATTACCATGTTTGTCTATTATGAGATAGGATAGTATATCTTTTTTAATAAAAATAGTGAAATGTTCATTTTGTTCTGCTTTAGAGTTCTTTGCAAATATGACTTAGTAAACTTGTAGAACAGGAAGTCCTTTCTTTCATACCACCAGACACTGTGGTATGGAAATGCTTGACTTATTTTGTTTTCATTTTCAGATTTAATTCTGGGGTTCTAATGCATTTTAATTTAGCCCATGAAGAATTTTTGAGTATTTCCATCACATTGCCAAATAATTGTTATGAAGGCCAAAAAAATATGTAACAATGAATACTACAAATAATGTGTAAATGTAGCTAATATTTATTGAGAAGTCATTTTGTGCCACTATGTGAATTGACTCATCTAATCCTCAGAACATCTCTAGGGGCAAACACTATTACTATTCACATTTTGTAGGAGAGAAAATTAGAGCTCAGAAATTTTAAGCAATTTGCCTGAGGTCAAAGAACTAGTAAGCTGCAGAATGTGAAAAATGATGTAAATGGAGACATTTCAAAATGGAGTCAACCACCATCCCAGAGGAACTGCCTTGCTGGTCTTAACACCTCAAACTGTTGGAATGTTTGAAACAGGAAAAATAACCTGGGGATTGGGCCAACCCAGCCTTATATTCCAAACAACTGTTTGTAAAGCTAATAAACAAAGCAGACATTTTGACTCAGAAGACTGCAAATTTAGGACATTCTTTAGAATTAGCACCACCCTGAATAGTTAGAAAATAAACCAGCTTCTTTGTATGTATAGAAATTCTATCCCTAAATAATTAGCTCCAATAGAAATTCCTTCCTTCTATTTATGTAATTATTTCCCTTTACTTTCTCATAAATACCCCCTGCCTTCACCTCATAATTGTAATACTATTTGGGTTTCTGTCTGAATCAGTGCTTCTAGAAGTATAATACTTTTTGATCTAAAATAAACACTTATTCCCTCTTACTTTGGTTTTTAATTTTTATTTTAACAAGGCCTTGGGTTCATACCTAGTGTTTGGCTCTGGAGGCTGCATTTTTAACCAGCAAGCTCTCGTCCTCATCACATATCAGATATTAGTTAACTACTTAATTCTCATATACCCCATGGTATAGCTCTACCAATATGATATCTATTTGATAATGAGGAGATTGGTCCAATCAATGTCAATCTGCTAGTATATGAAAGAACTAGGTTTTTAAATTTAGTTCTGTTTGGCTCTTCTGATATTTT